AGCTGGAGGAAGTGTCTGGAGAAAGGGAAGTCTGGGCATCTTTGCTTAGACTGCTGCCCCCGCGACCCGGTTCCGGATAAGCGGAGGAAAATGGATGGCTGGATGGAGCAGCAGACACACTCATGTCACTGGAAGCAGAAAGCCTCCAGTTTTGATTTTTGCCTTTTTGCCAGTCAGTGTGATCAGAATCAGACCATGTTATCATATTGTGACAACTCATGGCTGAAGTTCATGGAATTTGTGAAGTGATTTTCAAACCTAACACACTTCCCCATCCCCCAGTCTCCATCCCACAGGGGGAAGCGGCAGCAGCAGGAGCTGATCACAGAGCTCAGAAGACGACAAGGAAAGGACAGTCGCCATGTTTACGAAGGGAAGGATGGAGCCATAGAGGACATCATCACAGGTAAACATGTCATCATTGGTAAACAGGGGCCAGCACATTCGAGACTGAGTATGCAGTGAGATAAAGCTGTGAGTATGCCTGATTCTGTTTTATGAAGCTCAGTTAGTGCATACATGTATGCAATGATACATTGCATCACATGTATCTGTAAACATCTGAATCATCATTATTAAACATTTGGAAGATGATCAGTGATGTAGTACTCATGCAGGTGACTTCACATTTGAGCTTAAACTAAATAAATAATGGCTCAAATTTTAAACAACCATAGTTTATTATATAATTAAGCTTACAAACCCCAATTCCAGTGAAGTTGGGACATTGAGTAAAATGTAAATAAAAACAGAATACAATCACTTGCAAATCCTTTTTGACCCATATTTAATTGAATACACCACAAAGATAAGATATTTAATGTTCAAACTAATAAACTTTATTGTTTTTTTGCAAATATTCACTCATTTTAAATTTGGTGCCTGGAACACGTTCCAAAAGAGCTGGGACAGGGGCAACAAAGACTGGGAAAGTTGAGGAATGCTCAAAAACCACCTGTTTGGAACATTCCACAGGTGAACAAGTTTATTGGAAACAGGTGAGCATCATGACCAGATATAAAAGGAGCATAAAAGGCTCAGTGATTCACAAGCAAGAACAGGGCATGGTTTACCACTTTGTGCGTGAGCAAATAGTCCAACAGTTTAAGAACCACATTTCTCAACGTACAGTTGCAAGGAATTTAGGTATTTCATCATCTACAGTCCATAATATCATCAAAAGATTCAGATCTCTGCACGTAAGCAGCAAGGCCGTAAACCAATGCTGAATGCCCATGACCTTCGATCCCTCAGGCAGCGCTGCATTAAAAATAGACATCATTCTGTAAAGGACATTACCACGTGGGCTCAGGACCACTTCGGAAAACCATTGTCAGTTGACACAGCTTGTCACAACATCTACAAGTGCAAGTTAAAAATCAACCATGCAAAGCAAAAGCCATACATCAACAACACCCAGAAACGCCACCGGCTTCTCTGGGCCCGAGCTCATCTGAGATGGACTGATGCAAAGTGGCAAAGTGCACTGTGGTCTGATGAGTTCACGTTTCAAATTGTTTATGGAAATCATGGACGTCATGTCCTCTGGACTAAGGAGGAAGAGGACCATTCAGATTGTTATCAGCACAAAGTTCAAAAGCCAGCATCTGTGATGGTATGGGGGTGTCTTAGTGCCCATGGCATGGGTAACCTGCACATCTGTGAAGGCACAAGTACATACAGGTCTTGGAGCAAAATATGCTGCCATCCAAGTGATGTTTTTTTCAGGGATATCCCTGCTTATTTCAGCAAGACAATGCCAAGCCACATTCTGCACGTGTTACAACAGCGTGGCTTCATATTAAAAGAGTGTGGGTATTAGACTGGCCTTCCTGCAGTCCAAACCTGTGTCCCATTGAAAATGTGTGGTGCATTATGAAGCGCAAAATATGACAACGCAGATCCTGGACTGTTGAGCAACTGAAGTCGTACATCACGCAAGAATAAGAAAGAATTCCACCTACGAAGCTTCAACAGTTAGTGTCCTCAGTTCCCAAACGCTTATTAAGTGTTGTTAAAAGGAAAGGTGATGTAACACAGTGGTAAAAATACCCCTGTCCCAGCTTTTTTGGAACGTGTTGCAGGCATCAAGTTCAAAATGAGTGAATATTTGCAAAAAACAATAAAGTTCATCAGTTTGAACATTAAATAACTTGTCCTCATGGTGTATTCAATTAAATATGGGTCAAAAAGGATTTGCAAGTGAATATTCTGTTTTTATTTACATTTTACACAATGTCCCAACTTCATTGGAATTGGGGTTTGTATAATTGAACTGGGCTCTGTGTGGATTAAATTGTTTGAATTTTACAGGGGGTTGTATAGATTTCAGAAACATCAACACAATCAGGAAAACTGGCAAACACCTCACCACACAGTGTTATACTTTAAGGTGACTTTGTATTTAATCATTTCACCTGCAGCTAGTGCTAGGAAACCAAGTGTACATCATGCACATTATCTTCCACATTATTCTTTGATTAACACCAGTTCATGTGTGAGAAGGTTTCTGATGCGTACACATCATACACATCTGGGCTCAGGTGTTCCCTGTTGTCTAATTTTTTTAATCTTACCTGCAGCTCTCAAGACTGTCCCCTTCACGGCTCGATCAGCCAAACGCAGCTCTCGCTTTTTCTGTGATGCCACCCACACCGAGGAGCACTACTGAGGAGGAGAGAGAGCTTATATGTGGGCATGTTTGAAGACATTTTGAATTGAATTCCTTTGTCATCGTATGCTCTGCAAACAACGAAATTAGGAGTGCAACTCCATTTGGTGCATAAAGAAGGAACACGGAAACACTAAAACCACACAGGACACCGAGTAACAACAGTAATCAAACAACAATTAAAAATAGTTATGTTACACATTACATCAGTTGAAGTGCAAAGTATAACAACATAGCAGCACTGACCCATTATCAATGCATATTAGAGTACAGTACACAGATGACCCTGAAAAAGAAACTGTCCCTCAGTCTGGAGGTGCGTGCTCTGGCTGGCCTACAGCGCCTGCCTGGGGGCAACAGTTCAAACAAACAATGACCAGGGTGAGAGGAGTCTTTAACAATGTTTTTAGCTCCACTGAGACAACGTGAAGTTGCAGGGTCCTCCAAGAATTGCAGCTGGCAGCCAATGATTTTTTTCTGCTGCTTTCACTACTCTTTGCAGCAAATTTTTATCTGTTGCAGAGCAGCTTGTGTACCACACTGAAATATAGTATGTCAGGATGAACTCCACCGCTGCTCAGTAGAAGGCAATCAGCATCCTCCTCTCTATGTCATTCCTCCTGAGCCCTCTCAGGAAGTGGGAGTCTCTGATTTGCCCTCTTCACAATGGCAGTGGTGTCTTCTTCAGCTAGTCACGCCCACTTCTAATCGATGGGACCAATTAGCACTTTGAACATTTCTGATCAATCATTGTGATGACGTTTTGTTATTTCATTGGTCAGCCTGAGCACAGACCCAGCACCCAGACACCACCTGACCTCTGGGATTTTTGTTCGGATGTTAACACTGGCCTGTACATTGTCATTCAACTCCATTCAGAACTTAAAACAACCCTCAATTCTGTCTGGTTGTAAATTTATATATGACAGCAACTGGCTGACCTGGTGTCAGCCTGGCTGCACTCTCACTGAACAATCTCAAGAAACACTCAGCAGCTGTTGCTGAGCTTTTGATCATATCGCATGAAATTCCTCAGTAGAATAAGTAACCTAATTTACAGTAAATGGCAGATCTTTATATTTCCATTGTCTTAGCACTTCCTTTTCCATGTGGATGTGGACATTTACACTGACAGGTCTTTTTTGTTTAATCAAAATTATATACATTTGAACATCTACAGGTCAGGTGACACAACTGAAAGTCTATTTAAAATTGACTTCCACTCAGGCCGCCTGGAATGGGTTCAAAGATCAGGTCATTCCTAGCTCCAGGTCAATTTCCATCAAGAAATTATTAGAAACAAAAGTCCTTGTCCTTGACCTCAGTGGAAAAGATGTTTACGAAGGAAACATGTCAGCTGTTAAAAACAGCCAATCACAGTATTAAATGTGATGTCAATGCTCAAACTGCCCCATTATTTAAAAATAAAGCTACAAAAGTGACATCTTCTGTGTTGGAGCAGTACTGACTGAGCAAACTTTACTGCATTTTTAAAGGTATTTCACTGGTGGTGCTTTAGAGTAGCATTCTGATGACCCACATGTTCAACATGGACACACATATGCCTTTTTTAAATAACATTTTAAATACCCCCCCAACCCCTCCCCACTATTAAAACCAGTCCTGGTTCTGGGTCAGCAGGTCTGTGATGGTTGTTCTGGGTTTTTTGTTTTTTTTTTGGTCCATGTCTTTAACTGGTTCTTGTACAGGGTTCTACTTCATTCACTGCATTGTATTCTACTGTATTTGGTAGCCTTTCCAGAGCCTAAGATACACAGAGTCTGGCAGCTTTCTAAACAGTTATAGCTGAACTTTTAACCATTATGAACAGGTGTTATCAAGAAGCATTAGTTTTCACATTCACAAAAAGTGTCAAACTGGCCTTTAGAGCCAACATCTTTGCCGGACTCTGTATCTGTGACTCTGTCCAGTCGCCTTCCCGAACCACTCCCTTCCATTCAACACACCATCTCTAAACTGCTGCTGTTATCCTGTTAGCTAGCCGCAGAACCACACTGGCAAATACATTAACAACTGATTTTAAACATGGTGTCATATAAAATATGTAAATGCAGATGCTCTGAGAAACAAAGGGTTGAAATTTGGCATTAATGTGTTCTAAAAAGTCTCCTGTGACGTTCATGACCCTGGAGCAAGCTGCAGTTCGAAGCATTTCCCTGTGGGGGTGCTATGGCAGACTACAGAAGGAAGAAAATGACCTATTTGTTTACTATTAAATGCAATGGCTCTCCAGTTTGACGCAGCAGTTTTACCTTCAAAATTAACTGAGTCTGAAATAACTGGCCTGGTGAAAGCACATTGACTTGATTGATGGTTTACTGATGAATCTGTGGATGACTTTTCTATCTTCAGTAACACAACAGTGAGGTCGGTCTGTTGGTATGGCTCTGGTCAGGACACATCTGGAACAAACTGCAAAGATTGAGAAATACAGTACATGGACACCTCAAAACAAATTTGTATTGGCCAGGACAGCCCTGCACCTGGAGAAACTTTGACCGACAGGAACTACTCTGGACAAACACGACAACACACACATGTAGAAATATGGACTGGCCCACACTTACAGGATTAAATCAATCAAGCAATCAAACTTTATTGCCAAGTATTATTAAAACACAGGGACAGTACTGGACACAATGGACAAACCTGCCCTGACAGGGACCAACCGGTACAAAGTCAGAAGGATCTGTTAAAACCTAGATGAGCACCGACAAATCTGGACAGACTTGTGTTGTCCTACAGTGTTTCTGTTCTCTGGAGTCCCTGGACTCAACCTGAAACAGACCTGTAGTGCTCCATTTGTGGAGCCTGTTTATTTTGGAGAGTCCAGTCTCACACTGAGACCTCAATCTGTCTCCTGGTTTCCCTGTTTGTGTGAAGTCAGGTACCAGCAGCTCTGCATCTACACTTCACCACAGTCTGCACCCCCCCCCCCCCCTTCATTTTACATCTTAAACTTTCATGTAAAACAAAGTAAAATGAAACAGCACAAATTTTCGATGTGTAAATACATTTTCTAGAAAGCCATGTAGCAGTGCTTGTACTGTTTAGTGTTTGTTGGTTCTTGCTGGTGATTCTCCACTTGGTGTGTCAATAAAACGCACCTTGTCTACATGATGATGCATCCCTACTACATTTGATCTTCAAGTCACAATTCATAAAGTACATTACCCATAATCCTTTAGTGTCCAGCCTCAGCTGCAGGTCTTCCACACTAACAAGCCTCATTTAATTCAAGTTTTGTTTTATTTTTACCAAGTTATCTCTGATTGGCTGTTTAATATTGGTGTCACAGTTTCCTCGTTTCTGATTGGCTGCTACATGTCTTCTCATTTATGACTGGTATAAACTTTGACAAATATTTCCTCAGTCTAAAAATCAAAATGTCATAAAATTGTATCAGCTACATATTAATACTAATCATGTATTAATAAAATTGACCCAGTTTTGCAATTATTAGCCAACAATTAATCAGTCAGTTTGATCATTTCCTGCAGGCGATCTGTGCTGTGATAGGCTGTTTAATTCTCCTGAAGATTACCCAGAGAAGGAGTTCGATGGATGGCCTTTGACCCCGAGTCCTCTCACCTGTGATAAACACACACACAGGCTGTCAGTATCACCTGGCCATAGGTGAGTCAGCAATACAAGTTGGCTAAAACTGCTTCCCAAGTCAGTTACAGGCACAGTTGTTTCCCTCAGTTGCGCCTTAGACCCACCCGTGTAAGATGTGAGGAAAACAGGAGGAACAGAGGGAACGTGTTATTAACAACATGAGATCTTCTTTCTTCTGATCCTTCATCTGAAGCATCCAATCAGCAACTGATTTCTGATAAAAGGGTATGTCGGTCCATAAAAAAACTTCAGTGAAGGAGGGTCTCATCTATCCTTGCTTGTGGCTCCTCGCTGCTCAGGGCCAATATAAGAGGCTTGGAACATCCTTAACCCTCGATTGACCTTAACAACTTCCAGGTTGACTGAGGACCAAGGAACGATTATCTAAGAGATTTGAGAAGCAGCCTAATACCATACTCACAATAGACAGGGCTGCGCTGCACAATTCTCGAGTATGATTGCCCCCCTACACACACTCCCCCGCTGGCCTGCGTTCACACTGCACTTGAAACATTCCAGGCCAGAGCACACCTGTGTCACCATGATGCAGCTGATGAGAAGTACTCTGGCATAGCACATAGCACTGGTGTTCTCGTGCCCAGGCAGAGATGACACAACAACGTACCATACTCAAGTCCAAGTGAACCGTGTCCAACTCTTCAATCAGGCCAGAGCATGGTACACTGAACAGTGCGCAGACACGGCACAGAGCAACAAACTGGACTTTGGGGGTCAAAAGTGCCATGCCATGGTACAAATTATCTAGTATGAGTACATCCAAAGTCTCACCCTGAAAGTGTGTCCGTCCAACGGCTCCTGTGTGCTCTCTGATTGCTTGAGGCCCAGAGTGGCCGAGGTCACATAGAGATCAGAGTAATCTGGCCCACCAAAACAACAAGAAGTGGTATTCTTTACTGGCAGAAAGACCGTCTGCAGCCGCACACCTGAGAGAATACAACAGGTACTTTTCATAATGATCAGCCTAATCATTGTAAAACAAACACACATAACCTTAGCGTTGTAACTAGCTTTGATCAGTTTGAAATAGTGCAAAGTCAACTACTATGGTCACTGGCAGACTTCAAATTAGAAGCAATCTAAGATTAGTTTCATTATTAATTCAATCATCTTCACAAGTGAACAACTTTTATGATGTTTGAGACCCAAATACAATGGTCAGAAGTGACAAGCTATAGTTTGTAGGGGTGGGAATAAAATAATTCACTTTCAGCTGTTCTTGTTAGGGGTCGCCGCAGCGAATCGTCACACTGACGGCTTGCATGGTGAAGTTTTGCACGTGTTTTATGCCGGATGCCCTTCCAGACGCAACCCTGAATCAAACCCAGGCCACAGCGGCAGAAGCACTGAATCCTAGCCACTCGACCATCGGGGGGTGGGAATGTTTACAAATTTTCAGAAATGAGTACTTTTAGATTTTTGACGTGTACACTTTTTTCCATATGGTAGCCCACTACCCAGGATGTGTGTATTTTATGCTGTAGAACAAAAATGTGAAAATGTACTGGCCTAGCGTTAACTACAGGCGTCTAAGCAAAATCCCACTGACTTCAGGACGAGGGAACCAGAAGTGCAAAAATGCTGACTCAGTTCCAGGTTTTAGGAATCACTACTATGGCACTCTATTAATCATTTCAGTGTTTCCCACAGAATTATATTCTGAATCCAAGTTGCCTTTAAATGCCAAGTATGTTTGAACTTACAGGAATTTGACTTCA